TGAGTTCTAAACTTACTCGGAGACTCGGAGTTGTTAGACGACTGAAACCTGCTCGCGAGACACAGCGAGAGAGAGAGAGAGCGAGCGAGCGAGCGAGCGAGCGAGCGAGAGAGAGAGAGAGAGAGAGAGAGAGAGAGAGAGAGAGAGAGAGAGAGAGAGAGAGAGAGAGAGAGAGAGAGAGAGAGAAGATTTGAGCGCCACACGTCGAGTTTGCTTTCCTCGACTGACTTACTGGGAGTTATATTATAACTCAAACCTGTTCAATCACACTATCCTAGCCCTGACTGTGACGAGAACAGACTCTCACGATCTTCAATCCATTCATCATCAGTAATCCGCACCGAATCGACATACTACCGGTAGTTTCGTCCTTTGAGCTACATTACGACTGACGCAAAGATAATGAGTAAGACGCACCCAGAGAATGATTTTAATACCTATGGAGCTCTACTACGACTCACACAAAGCTGTTCGATCGTACAGCATTCCTTTTATACCTATGGTCCTATGGATCAGTTGCTACCCCCGTGCAGAGAATTCCATCATTGGTAATTAATAACTATTATGAGACCTATATATTAATCGGAAAATTCAAAACAATAAAAAAGATAATAGCGACTCGAATTATATAATCAAATAGTGTTGGACGATCTCCATTCCATAGTGATAAGCTCTGATTTCATATGAATTGATATGATATGACATTTAGTAGGATACGACTCATATGAGAGTCTCAGAGAAAGATGTCGATGTGCATCGACGCGAAGTAACCGTCCATAGGTGCATTTGGACGGTTACTTCGATGTGCGTCGATGCAAAAGCATGTCAAACAGATGTGATTTCAAAGCTAGTGATTTCAAACCATGTCAAACAGTCAAAGGAAAAAAACACTTAAGAAGGAAAGAACACAGATCATCAACGTAAGGAGGGAAGAGAACGAAAGGAGGAGGAGGAAGGGATGGGATGGGATGGGATGGGACGGGATCCGGTTGATGTGGAGATCTGAAATCGCAGTGCCATCCTCAAACAGCAACCGGATCCCGATGGATTACAGCAGAAAGCAGATTACGGAAAAAGAAACAGAAAGAAGACGGCAAAAAAAGAAGGGAGGAGAAGGAGAGAGTGAAGGAGGAGGAGGAAGAGGAAGAAGGGGGAAGGGGACATAGAGGGCAAAGAGAAGACGGGACATGGAGGCAAGAAAGAGGGGAGACAGGAGATAGAGGGGAGACGATACGCCGGCGAGGAACAAATGAAAAAGGAAACCTCCTTAGCATAAAATCGTGACCAGCATGGCTGGCTTCCCCCTCGGCGGATGTCCCAGAAATAGAAGACGGGACATGGCAGAAGAAAGAGGAGAGAGAGAGAGAGGAGAGAAAGGAGAGAAAAAAAAGATACGATGGCGAGGAGCACAGAGGATTGCGCGAAAAGAAAGAGACCTCCTTAGCGAAGAATCGTGATCCGGTGGGCTGGCTACCTCCTCGGCGGCTGTCTCATTCCACTAGCAGCGCTGAGGTTCCTCAACGCCTGAAAGTGGACGCGTTTGAAGAGAGGTGGGGAAATGGCGTTGAGTTTTCTCAACCGCACATCTCCAGAAACACGTCCAGATTCTGGCGTTGAAAAAAAAAAAGGAAAAAAAATGGGAAACAGCGCTGCTAGTGAAACTTGGCCCTGGGAAATGAACATCTAAGTGCACTTTTCTGGGCATGACAAGCACTGTGTCTGGTCTTTTTTTGGGTGGGGGAATTTTCGAAATGCCCCTCCGACTTTCATTCATTTCGGCAAAATGACTCTGGAGGAGTGCTTTTCTTTGCAGGCAAAATGACTCCGGAGGAGGATTGCTTTTCTTTGCAAAAACAGACAAAAGCGGCACAGAACACTGACAACAGGGGGAAACGACTACACCCTCCGCCCTACCCCTGACAACGACTGTAACTTCTGGAAAACCCCTGCTGTCCGATGGGCCTGAAATATGTCGGTGCTGGCTCCAAATTTCCAGTATGCCCAGGGCCAGGGGGACGGCCGCGAGTGTTACCAACGGCCACAAGGGGCATGCTGGAGAGTTGCACCCCTCACTGACAGGGGCCTGCAGGAAATTTCAGAGGCCCCAGGGGCATGACAGGGGCATACGGCAAATAAATGGAAGTAGGAGCCTCAGGGGCATTTCAATTTGTTTCCCTTTTTCTTCTGTTTAAATATATTATTCTGGCAGTTTTACCTTTCAGTTCTGACGGACCACGTTGTTGTAGAGGTGGGATACTAGACGGATGGCAGTCACCCACAGTACTCGGCCACTGGGTTGTCCAGATGAACCCCTCTGAAGACGCCACCCGCCCTTCCTCTTATCTTCCTCTTATCTTTTGCCCTGGCGCACCCCCACCGCCTCTGTCCTACCCTAGTGTTACCCTAGTGTTAACCGCCCAGGACCATCACCCATTGCCATCTTGGTGGGGTGACCTGGCCAGACAGCAGTATGCAGGGGCAATCATTGCTACCTCTAACAATCAAGGGGATGCACGTTGCCCCCCCTTCTAGCCGGCTGTGGTCAGGGAGCAGGGTGGGGCCACGTGTGAGGAGGAACCGGCTGACCCAAAGACGGAGCATTTTGCCAGTAGCTGCCCCTCCCATCGAGTACTTCCCATACCCCTATCGAGTAGCAGCAGTGTCCATGGCCAGCATTCTCCCACACAGGATTAGGGTGGCCAGGGAGGGGGGGGGGGGCGTTAATCCCTGGGGGTAGCTAACCCAAAGACAGCATTTTGACAATAGCTGCACCTCACATCCACTCCCCCCCACTCCCCATAGAGTAACACGAGTGTCTATGGCCAGCATTCACCCACACACCACATACTAACCACACCCACACATCCGGCACGGTCATGCCTGACATTCTTGCACACGGGCCATTTGCTAGATGTTCCGAAGGGCATCATGCCTTTTTTTGTGGAGGGAACGTGACAACCCTACCAATACCTAAAGGGGGCGAGCAAGGCAACTATCTCAGGGCATACTTGTGACGTTCTAACCTCACGCCCTGCTCTGTCTTCCAGAAGTTCCAGTCAGAGTGACTAGTTGTGCAGAATAGGCCCTGAAAAACAGCAGAATGGGGTGTGACAAGAATTTTTGGGAAATGGAGTGTGGGGACACAGATGAAACTGAAGTCCCCCGCGTGGTTCCCGTTAGTGAGAGAGGGTCATCGTCGCGTGGGAGGGGAAACAAACATCCATTCAATCCAAAAAGTAACGTTCAACCTTTGTGCGGGCTACTGGCCGTCTTTTAGAGTGGAAGGGCGAAGGTACGCATGTGGGATCTCGTTTTCGAATCAGATCCCATCGCCGCTCAATACAGAGCTCGGAATCCGACGTGGATGGCCTCAACCGGGTTGCTCGTTCCTTGTGTTCATCTTCGCCACATGTTTGGTAGTGGAACCCCCTTTTCCGATAACGCTCTGCGCGGGACAATCGCTACACAAACTCACAGAGTGTTGGGCCAGTGGGGTGCTACCGCCGCCCACAGGATGACGATCAACTCGTTAAAAGGCAATAACAATGAGTACGAAGAGAAGTGAGTATCAATAATGACAAAACCATCGCCTACGAATTCAGAGCACCTTGTTTTAGGTGGAAAATAATAGCGCCCGCCGATCTTGGCGACAACTTCCCGTACGTCTCACTCGCAGACACGTGTCCTTTCCTCGTTATATGGGAACGACTGCGATGGGGATGCGGGGAGTTGGCACCCAGACGGGTCGGACAATCAATCCATATGGCACAAGCAAATTCTGAGTACATGAGTTTACTCAATCAATTGTGCAATCACAACTGTAATCAATCGTAATACACATACTTTATTGCATTTCATCGATCTAATGAACCGATCAAAAAGAAAGGTGTGAGTTCGATCCAATCACGACAACAATCATCATTCATCACGGGAGCAACAAGCATGCATTCTCGTAATCTCTGGGGGGTTTAGCTTAGTCAGCCCAATCAATGTGCATACATGGCGAATCCTACATACATGAATCCTCAATTGTTCGAAAGACACATCGACTACAGAAAAAAGAAAGAAAAAAAAACGATAAGATAGTCTGAAGCTTACTGGTCCTTTTGAGTTCAACGATGCTCGTTCGTGCGGGATCCGATTGAATTCAACATGGGCGAGCGAGATTAAGGACGTTTTGAGTCATTTTGGCATTCATCATATAGATAGGAGTAAGGGAACAAGAGAGAGAGAGAGACAAAGGCATAGCTTGACCGAAGAAGAGAACGAAGGAGAAAGAAAGAGAATTTTGGTCACACAAACAATCTTAAGGGGGAACACTTTGCTATTTGTCGTGGACTTAGCTTCCTGAGAACCAAAGGAAGAAGAATTTGAAAATCAAGCCGTACCGGCCTTTTGCTCTCTTATACTAGCCTCTGGCCATGCAACCACTCGTACATACACATAACCTTCTTATCCAAGTACTGACAATCCCGACCGCCACGTACTATCTTTCAAACCACAACGATCGTCACTCCGCGAAATCATACTTTGCACTAGGCTACCAGTTGTCCGATGGCAGGACGTCCTGGCCGGACATCCTGGGCGGATAGTCAAGGGGGTCCCGGACGTCCGGGCCCGGACAACTCCATTTTTAGCAATTAAAAGCACGAAAAAAGTAAAAAAAAAAAGGTTTTTATTTTTATTTTATTTTTATTTTAAAATTGGCAGCGATTTTCTATATGATTCCATGACAAAAGTTGTTCAGTTTATTTTTCTATATAACATACATTTTTTTCCGATTTTTCTGAGGTTTTTTTTTTTTTTTTTTTTTTTTTTTTTCGGGCTCGGACAGACTGCGAAGGGAGGACATCCGACCAGTTGTCCGATCGGACAACCCCGGACGGTCAGGGGGGTCCCGGATGTCCGATCAGGTAACCTAGACTTTGCATCAACTTGCCTAGACTACTCGCACATCACCTAGCCACGAATTCCCCGAAGTAGGCAGATGGGTTGAGAGCTATGAAACCGTTTCCGCCCTCGTGAGTGCGAGCGTGCGCGCTTAAGCGCGCTCTTAAAGACCCTCCTTTCCATGCTCAAACTCGCTCAGAGCGTTTTAAGGTGCGCTCGCTCGTGGTTGGGGGTGATTTTTTTTTGGGGGGGGGAAGGCAGGGTGGGGAAGGGGGTAGCTCTCTCTCTCTTTGTGTATACGTGTGTGTGTGTGTGTGTGTATGTGTGTGTGTGTGTGTGTGTGTGTGTGTGTGTGTGTGTGTGTGCGTGTGTGTGTGTTTGTTCATGTGTGTGTATGTGTGGGCAGGCCCGGCTTGCGCGGTGTATGTGAGTGTCTTTTTTTTTGGTTTTATGTTTTTTATTTTTTTAGATATACACGAACTTAGAAAATATACAATAAAAAATATGGGGTTGGAGATCTCCAAAATATCTATGAGACCAGGGTTGCTGGTGTTTGGGGCGGGCCGAACACCCGAACCCGAATGCCCGAACGTCTGGCACCCTCTCTCCACACTTTCGATCGAACGCATACCCAAAAACAAAAAAAACATCCAACAAATCTAAGAACAACGTATGTTATGCAGAAGACAAAACTAAACAACATTTGCCTCAACGTTACGTCCAAATTCTTTACCAAATTTAAAATAAAATCAAATAGTTAAAATATATAGTAATATAAAAATTAAAAAAGATAAAAGTTCATAAAACGAGAATGAAATTATTGAGTGGGCGAGCACGTTTTCCACATCGCCATCTTTGGCGATTTTTTTTTTC